AATTGAGTTCATCTTGGGAGATGATAATAATCACCGTTTTCCGCTCGCCTACCAATCGGTTGGTTCGTAAGTGCTCCGTTGCCGCCGTCCATTGCTTCTACTTCTTCGTGCTTCAAGTGTGTTATTTAAGATTTCTCTTTGATTGACCAGATGAAATCCTGGTACAAGTTGGAAAATTATGGTGCTTCCAAACAAGTCGATGCCCGTTCCGCATCGGATAAACAGGCTTTATCCTTCCTCAATTCTGAAACCGTTCATAACGGCGAAAGATACATTGTGCCTATGCTTTGGATTGATAGTAATGTCAGTCTACCAAACACTTATTACTCATCACTCGCCCAATATAAAACATTGGGGAGAAGGTTATGTAAAGACTCTGAACTGCGCGAAAGATACGCAGAGTCGATTAGAGAGGACATTAGGAAAGGCTATGTCGTTACTGTCGAACCGCATGATCAACGTTAGCGTTCCGATAGCGAGTGGTATCTTCCGCAAAATCCCGTCTTAAATCCGAACAAGCCGGGAGTGGTGCGTCGAGTCTTTAATGGGGCCTCTAAGTTTCATGGCACATCCTTAAATAAGTCCCTAATGGTGGGTCCGGACCTAATCCAAAAAAAAAAATTCTACGCTTCCGTCAACACAAGTACGCCATGTCCGCGGATATAGAGGGCATGTTCGTCCAGGTAGGAGTCCTCGCCCGGGATCAGTTTTCGAGCCGTTTTTTGTGGCAAGATGATACCACTTCCGATGTGGTAGTTCACCAGTAAACTCGCCATATACTCGGCGCACGCTAATCGCCTATATGCGACAAATTTGCGTCGAGAAAAACAGCAACTGATAATATGTCCACATACCCTGAGGCCGCATCAGTTGTAAACGAAACATTTTACATGGACGATTATTTGGATTCATTCGAGAAGGTTACCCATGCATTTAAAATTAGCAGTGATTTGGTTTCGTTACTTGAGTTGGTAGGACATAATCGGACTAAATTTGTCAGTAATGCCGATGAAATTACATTTGCAATGAACCCCGGGAAATGCGAAACCTCGTTTTTATCCATCAAAAAGATCTGTAACGGTGCCAAATTATCATCACACGTCTTAGGTCTTAAGTATGACCATTTGAAAGACACATTGGTTGTTAATAGAGGCGTGGATTGTCCTGTCGATAAGACAATAACTCAACAAACCGTCTTCAATTTCGTCTCTTCTGTGATTGACCACGTTGGGTTAGTAACTCCATACACAATTAGGGCCCGTATTTTGCTTAAAGATATTTAGAAAAAATTAGTGGTCAAAGTTGAGACGACTAATTGCCTGAAGACATTGGCAATAATTTTCCCGAGTGGCACTCCGGTCTCCCTCTTATAGGGCAATTGACTATTTTCCGTTGTTACCTCACAGAACCTGTGGATCAAACTGAGCTCCACATATTCGGTGATAGCTGGCAGGACGTTTTCTGTGCGGTTGGATTTTTGCGTGCGCGACACTCGAGTTCGCATAAAACTCAAATATCTTTCATCTTTGGTAAAACTCGCGTTGCGCCCATGAAAGCGCTATCTATAACGAAGCTAGAGCTTCAAGCTGCTCTGCTCCCCACACGACTGAAAGATGATATAGTGACAGCACTTACCATTAACATTAACCATGTCTACATGTCGACAGATAGTACTACAGTTTTGCTTTGGCTAAACTCCAGTGACAAATTACCGGTATTTGTCGCTAACCGTGTCGGCTAAATTCTCGAATCAACCGCTATTGATGAGTGGCACCAAATTCTGAGCCGCGATAATCCAACTGATAGCGGTACGCGGGGGATTTCTTCGGAAGCCCTCAAAAGTAGCAGCTGGGTTATTGGTCCGAGCGATCTTGGGATTACTGATTGGCCGTTTATACCCGACCAACGTGTGATCATTAAAATTCGTTTGAAGGGTCCTTCTTGAGATGTCAATATTTGCTTGGAGCATCATCTTTCTTCGTCACCGATGTCACATCCATCAAACATACCGAACACGGGTTCAATTGGGAAAGGTTTAGGTCCTTTACGAGATATAACAGAGTTGTCGCCTTTATCTGAGGATGCTGCCTTCTCATAAGCATTTTCGCGGTAATGACTTACGGATCAACGACCCCACTGAATTTGATATTGCAGAAAACAAACTAATTCATTTTGCTCAGATGACATCCTTTCCCGTTGAATTGAAAACACTCTCTACTGGCAAACCTATAAGGAATAGTAATAAAAATGCCACATACTCTCCTTTTATCGGTCCCGCTGGTATCATTCGTTCCACCGGCCGGATCGTTCGCTTAATGAATACCGAGTTTGACACTATGCACCCAATAATGCTTGACGCCCGACATACCCTGGGTCGTTTGTTGGCCCGGAGCGTCCACCATAAGCTTTTTCATCAAGGTTCAGATTACATGCGCTCCGTTTCAGTTTATGAAACATGCAATACTTTGGTTGCATCGACTACTTCGGTCTCTCGAAAATCAATGTGTAACATGCAGTAAACGCAAAGCAAGTAGCATCCAGCAAAAAATTTCGGGTTTACCTGTCGAACGTCTCGGAGATAAGCGTCCACCCATTAATCATACGGGTCTTGATTACTTTGGTCCGCTTTACGTTCCGGTTCTCAGAAGCACTGAAAAAAGATGAGGATTTCTTTTTACTTGCCTCACCACTAAAGCTGTACACTCTAAGATTGTTCCGTCTCTGACACTGGTTCTTGTGTCATGGGCATTGAACGGTTCATTGCGTGTCGTGGTACACCAAGCACGATCTGGTCGGATACCGGCACAAACTTCGTTGTCGCGGAAAAAGAATTGCTTGCCGGCATCAAAAGCTGGAACAGCATGGATCCGAGCATTTTTGCACACAAAGGTGTTGCTTGAAAAATTAACCCGCTAGGCTTACCCCATCATGGCAGCTCCTCGGACGCCTCGTCCAAAGCGTAAAGTGCGTGCTTTACGATATACTAGGCAGTAGGCGAGTTACTGAAGAGGTGTTAGCAACAACACTCTGCTGAGTTGAGCAGGCTTTGAATTCCTGCCAATCACTCCCGTTAGTACAGATTCACGTGAAATACAAGCGTTGACCCCAAATACTTTTCGCTTGAGCAACATGCCACAAGTTTTCCTTCGCTCTTACCTGGGGAGCACTTCGACCACAAGAAAAGTTACGCTCGAGCGCATTCGTATGCTAACGCCATTTGGTCTCGTTGGCTTTGAGAATATGTTGCCTCCCTGAATAAGCGCGTCAAGTGGCACACTCATTCTGAACTTACTAAGACAGGCGATCTCGCATGGGTGATTGAGCCCGATAGTCCGCGTGGGTACTACCCTCTCGCCCGAAATGTTAAGCTACGTTATGGACTGGACGGTTGCGCACGATCCGCCCTTGTTAAGACCGCAACGCGTGAACTCACTCGGCCGACCGTTAAGCTCCCACCTGTTCGTACTTTTTCAGGGGCGGAATATGTTGCAATGCAAATGTAACAAGAGTATAAATGCATATAAAACAAGCACAGTTGGCTGACCAAATGTACTTTATACAGACTTGCCAGTTGGCGCGGGTTCCCATACGCAGACATTAAAACATGTACACCCGAGGGGCTAGAGCCCCATTTGACCGTTTTCTTTTGTTTTTCGGTTCTAGTTCAGTTCAGCCTTGATTAAGGCTGACCGTCAAAAAGAGCATTTTGTCTCAAGGACATTACGGTTTCTTCTGGCTAGCTTGCGCCGAAAAAAAACTATAATTGGAGCTGATTATTGTTGAAATTTTGAACATGATTTATGTGAGTTTTCTGGATTTTGGATTATTTACTGATTATATCGACATGAGTGGTTTGTATTGCCGAAAAACGAATAAATCTTAATTGTCTAACCATTGTTCCTAGTTACAGAGATTATTGAGCGCACAAGCTGTTTTCCCAGGACAAATTGTGCTCCTCGCGGCACCAGCTAGAAAACATTCTCAGCTTAGTTGTACCATTTGCTTGCTACCTACTAATTGGCGCTGGTGCGATTTGTCACTTTTGCGAAAAAAAGCGAATTGTCGCTTTCGACGAGTTTTTGTTTTTTTTTCTCGAAAAAATGCGAACGGTTGCCATCGACCAATTGTCACTTTTGACCAGTAGTCAGGTCACCTCACAATTTTGGGCGATTGGTTTTTTATCTGTGTTTGAATCAAAGTGTTTCAATCTAAAACAAAAGACTGATGTGTGTTGTGTGGTTGCTTCGCAAGTATCACAGAATGTTCCTTCCTCAACAACTTAGATAAATAGATTCGAAAAAGACTTCTCAATCGTTATAGATAGCATTGAGCTCTCTCAATTGATAATCAATGCTCAAAAATAAAATTCTGGTATTGCATAAAATTCTCGCAAAACATGGTTAGCAATTAATACGCTACAAGCTTAATTGTCTCCAACTGCGCGACACGCATGCCTGCTTTATTGATGCCAATTATCACAGTTTTGTGCTCATGAAAAAGGAACGAACTAAGAAAAGAAACTGAAAACAAGTCAGAATCGTAGAAAACCGTGACATGTTCCTAATAGCTGAACGCCTCATGCAAAAAAAAACTGAAAACCAGCTGATAGACAGACGGCAATGAAATTTCTCTCCCAGTAACCAAGTGGATTGTTACTTTGATAACTGCCAGGTTTATTCATAAACGTTTGGTGCCTCTTCTTTGACAAGATAGCCCCATTGCATTTTTGTCCTCCTTGAATGAAAGCGAGTGCCAAACAAGTAGAAAAATATTTTCAGATGGTATCGCAGAATTTCCGTAAAAATCCAAAAACCCTTTAAATATTCACCTGCGTTAGATTTTTTTGCACTTATACCGATAATTCAAAAAACTAATTTGCAAGCTCTGCAGTTGGGCGTATTTGAAGTTACCACGTTCGACTTATTTTCAAACATGAACTCAAAGTTCAAATGATGCAAAGATTTTTGAAAAATTAGAAAATGAAGCGAAGTTTAAGAGCTATAAAGGGCCCTAAAATCTAGCACCAAAAATTAGCGTAAACAAAAAGGATTAGAGTTTTTTTGTTATTTTGATTCATAGTGAATACGACAAAAGAAGCAAAACTTCTTAAACTCCTCCGAAATCTCATCGTGCTCTTGCATACTGAGCGAAAAAGGCTTTTTACAGTTTTCGCAGGTCAGAACCCGCAGACCAACAGATGTAGTTTTTGCAATATACTTCAAACGATCCGAATCTTCAATGTTCCAAAGTCGAACTGTCGAGTCTTTAGACGCAGATGCCAGCCATTTTCGGTCATCCGATAAAACAACATCGTTGATCCAGCCTTCGTGACCTTTAAGCGACAGTTTGACAGTTCCGTTGACGCAATCCCAGACTGAAATTGTCTGGTCGTAACTACAGGATACCAGCATGTTGCCATCTAGAAGACATGAACTGATTGAACCTTCGTGACCGTTTTCGTAAACTTTGGCGCCTTCATGTCTGAAAAGACCAGTGGCAATATCCCACACACAGATTCGTTTGTCCCAACCACACGATACGACTTTGCGATTGTCGGCTGAAAACTGAGCATGTGATACGACTCCTTGATGTCCGTCCAGGAGTTTCAAAGTTGTGGCGAAAGATCTGACGTCAAAAATTTTGATTTGCCCGTCCACACTTGAAGTCATGACTCGGGTTCCAGTCTTGTCGAAGGATAGATGGGTGGCATAGCTCTGAAAAACAAGTTATTGATTGGACCAGTAGACTATCGACGGGATACAAAAATTGTGAAATTTTGTAATATTTGTTTATTTTGATCGAGTTTAGCTAAATGTTTGTTTTTATTTATTAAATCATAAAAATAAGTAAAGTATAAACGCCATCAAATTGATATAAATTGTTCATAAATTAAGCTGTTAATCTATCCGAATTTAAGCATCTTTTTTCCACTGATGCGAGTTTCTCAAATATGGAAAATAAAAAATTGAATATTTGACGACTGGCAAAAACTAATTAATACGCAATTAAATTTTCATACTTCAAATTTGTTACCTTGTGGAATGCTTTGATGTTTTTGATGCATTTGCCCGAATTGACATCCCATAGTTGGAGAATGTATTCAACATCACTCATAGACGCCGCACACTTGGAGTCAGGAGAAATGGCACATGAGTTCGAGATAGCCTAGGCAAAGTAGATATTATTGGTATGACTTTTAACTCAGATTGCAGTGTTCTATGTTCAAAATTGAACTAGAATCTTAGAACAAAATTAAAACTTTTTTGTTGATAAAAAATCAACAGTGCGAGAGCATTTGAACAAGCATATGCACTTCAGTTCATTCTCTTTCATTGCGTTCGCACCCGTACCTAGGAAATGTTCTAATTCAGATCTGAAATAATCTTTTTCAGATCTAAATTTCAGATCTGAAATGGGTTGTGAAATTTTAAAATAACACTTGGATACTTTACAAATGGGTTATTTCAGATCTAATTTCAGAGCTGAAATTTTGTTTTAATTGATTATTTCAGATCTGAAAAAATATAATTCAGATGTATAAAGTGCTGATTTAAATTAACCGGATAAAACGCGTTAAACTTGAAATTTACAACGAATTTTTCTCAAATTGGGTTGAGTTTAGGTAAAAACTTATGAAGACAAAACTTGCTTAAAACTTTAGCAGAATTAAAATGGTGTAATTTATTTTGCGAATTTCGGGCCCGAAATTTTACCCCAAAAATGGGTCATTTTGGTTTTTCTTAGTTAATCAAAAATTACGCCAAAAATACCTAGTCGATCACAGACATAATTATATTAATGTGAGCCTCTTACGTAGCCCAACAAACTTTAAGAAGGGTAGATTCTCCAAAATATTGTATAAGTTAATTTATTTTTGTTTGATAGACAAAAAAGGTCGTTTTTACTATATAAAATACCAACTTTTTATTTAAAAACAATTTTTAAACAATTTGCAAATTTTTTTTGGAGAAAATACCCTTCTTAAAATTTGTTGAGCTACGTAAGGGGCTCACTTTGATAAAATTATGTCTGTGATCGACTGGGTATTTTTGGCGTAATTTTTGATTAACTAAGAAAAACCAAAATGACCCATTTTTGGGGTAAAATTTCGGGCCCGAAATTCGCAAAATAAATTACACCATTTTAATTCTGCTTAAGTTTTAAGCAAGTTTTGTCTTCATAAGTTTTTACCTAAACTCAACCCAATTTGAGAAAAATGCGTTTTAAATTTCAAGTTTAACGCGTTTTATCCGGTTAATTTAAATCAGCACTGTATTCGGATCTGAAATTTAGTTTTTCTTGGTTATTTCAGATCTGAAAAATTAATGACTCTGACACAATGTTTGCTATTTTGATGCATTTGAATTTGATAGATTCTGCTAGCTACTCGGATTGTTCGGAAGTTTTTTTTACCACTAGTTAATCTAAACATAACTGTCAATTGCAGAAACAACGAAAAATAAAAACTCAATTGTTTGCTCGAAATTTATAATTTATAATTTAACAAAGGGTTTCTCAGATCTAATTTCAAAATTTTGTTTTTCAAACTATTTCAGATCTGAAACTTTGTACTTTAGATCCAAATTTGAAATCTAATTTTTTCAAATTCTTATCAAGAATTGAAATTAAAAAATTTCAGATCTTGCACAGAAAACCCTTTTGGGTACGGGCATTTTAGTTGGTTTGCAGTTCTGCAACAGCTTCTTTTCTAAATTATTCTAGAATTGCAAGCTCTAAATTGAGCTCTCAGCATTTCTCTGCTTCATAAGACGTCATTAGTTGCCAATCGAAAAGTACAATTCAAGTTGCCTGCTGTGTTAGAATAGATAGTTTCCTCCAATTCGACGGCAGATTTTTTTTTTTTAGCAATTTATAACAAAATCAGACCAACCAAACATATTTTACGGAAAACTATTTTTTGTTGTGGGTTTCGAAGAGGAAAAAAAAACTTCTAATGATAAAGATCCAACCTTCGATAAGGATTGTCATTCTTTAATAGATTCAAGACTTATTTCAAAATAGCTTCAAAATGTATAACGATTGAGCTACAAATACCTACATTAGATGACTATACTGAGACTGTGCAGAGATCTAACAACGGCAACTTTCATGGAATTCGTGAATTGCAAAAATGAAAAAATTATGTTGAAGAAGAAGAACTATGAGCTTGGACTTTAATCGCATAAATAACCGTGAATGAAAAACGAAAACAAATTTCATCCCCGGAAACAGTCTTCTCTAGGTATGCAACAACAATGATGGATCATCTCCTCACAAGGAATCTCTAAAACACTAAAACATATACACACAACAAACAAAAATTTGTTGGAACTGTTTAATACTTTTTGGCCAATGTTGTATATTGGTTATTATAACCTTTTTCAAAACGTATTGGAATTTTTTAAAGGTAAATCAAAGCGTTTAAAATTATCTGGCCTGATTGAAAGAAAAATGTTACGCAAAAATTGATATTCACTAATCTGGGATTCTTCGGGTTTATCATTCTCCAAAAATGAATTTGGATGTTTTCTGTTCAAGATTGAATTAGAAACTTAAAACAAAATTAAACTTTTTAATTTGTTGATAAAAAGATCAACAGTATAAGAGATTTCTAGCAAGCATATGCGCCACTGTATAATTGCCTTCATTTCAATCTATTTCATAGCGTTCCCAATTTAGTTGCTTTGCATTTTGTAGCGGTACTGTTCTAGATCATTCTAGAATTGGAAACTTAAATAAAGCTCTCAGCAATTTTCTCTTTCATTGGGCGCTTACATTGAGCCCTCAACATTTTTGCTATTGGAAACTTTTTCTGAAAAAAAAGACTGCACTAAGTCTAACTGATCTTAAAAGGCTGAAAAATATTCGCCTACAGCTCGAAAAATTAGTATAAAAGTAGAACTGAAAATTACCAAATCACAACGCTCCGATTGTAAGAAAATCGTAACAAACTCAATCCCAACCCTTGGATAACCAGCGGATACACCTTATGGAAAATCTATACTTTTTCAATCTTTGGATAATAAAATTTAGTTCAGGTCTATATTACAGATCTAAAATGAACATTCAGTTTCAGAGTGAAAACTAGATAAATGAATACCTTCCCTAAAACAAAATGGACATTTCAACTAGCAGCGCTAGTCCCGCGTTCTCGATCAGTAACCCGCTAGTTTAATAGCTGATCAAGGATTTTTTGTCTCACAAAATAAATGATGTTAGTACATTTCTCCTACTGTTCTGGTCATACTCATGCCACCACTTTTTAGAAGACCATGCGAATAAAAATTTCACGTTAGGACTAAGTACTCATACAACGCTTGCATTTCAAGTAGAAAAAAATTATTAAAGTAAGCTCCCCAATTGATTCTGGAAAACTATACAAAAATTTTTACTCGTTTACATCATTTGGAAGAAGTTGCAGAAAATTATAAGCTCTTGCTATCTGTTTTTAATCTCCTTAAAGAAAACATTATTTACCTATAATCAAAAAACAAACAAAAACTAGCAAAAGACTTTTTCTAACATGGTAGAAAGAAAAAAAACATTGATTTCATAGGACACGATTGCACAATGAGAAATCAATTAGTTTTGAGAAATAAACAGAGACTTTTACGATACACTTTAAGCTGTTTTTCATTTAAGCTACGAGTTTTTGCGACCGTTGATGTCAAAAACTGCAAAAAACAACACTTTCTTTTTTTCAGACATTTAACAGTTGCTTTGTTTGTTAAACTTCTGATTTAAGGATTCAATTTTTGTTTGCTCCGCTAACTGATTTTTCTAATTCAATTTCGATTATCGCTGAAAAACCATCAAACCATCATTTTTTGATCTTCCCCTTGATTTTTCTGCTAAAAACTTGGTCAACTGTGTTAAATATACTTCTTTGATTGTTTACATTTTCTACAGCAGTTTACATACAGTAATTTTCTGATCAAATTTGATCTGAATTTTCTTTAAAAAATGGCAATACTGGAATTGTTGTACTTTTGTTACCATTGATTATAACTATTTTGTTTTACTTCACTTCTCGTCATTTTTTTAAATTATTGAATCAATAACATATTATTGATTGGGTTTTCATGGATTTTTCTAGCTGTTGACTGGGACCGTTTTTATATACAGACTAGCGTTTATGTACAGACTGAGCTCGACATCTGTTTTTAATCTCCTTAAAGAAAACATTAATTACCTATAATCAAAAAACAAACAAAAACTAGCAAAAGACTTTTTCTAACATGGTAGAAAGAAAAAAACCTTGATTTCATAGGACACGATTGCACAATGTGAAATCAATTAGTTTTAAGAAACAAACAGAGACTTTTACGATACACTTTAAGCTGTTTTTCATTTAAGCTACGAGTTTTTGCGACCGTTGATGTCAAAAACTGCAAAAAACAACACTTTCTTTTTTTCAGACATTTAACAGTTGCTTTGTTTGTTAAACTTCTGATTTAAGGATTCAATTTTTGTTTGCTCCGCTAACTGATTTTTCTAATTCAATTTCGATTATCGCTGAAAAACCATCAAACCATCATTTTTTGATCTTCCCCTTGATTTTTCTGCTAAAAACTTGGTCAACTGTGTTAAATATACTTCTTTGATTGTTTACATTTTCTACAGCAGTTTACATACAGTAATTTTCTGATCAAATTTGATCTGAATTTTCTTTAAAAAATGGCAATACTGGAATGGTTGTACTTTTGTTACTATTGATTATAACTATTTTGTTTTACTTCACTTCTCGTCATTTTTTTTAATTATTGAATCAATAACATATTATTGATTGGGTTTTCATGGATTTTTCTAGCTGTTGACTGGGACCGTTTTTATATACAGACTAGCGTTTATGTACAGACTGAGCTCGACATCTGTTTTTAATCTCCTTAAAGAAAACATTAATTACCTATAATCAAAAAACAAACAAAAACTAGCAAAAGACTTTTTCTAACATGGTAGAAAGAAAAAAAACCTTGATTTCATAGGACACGATTGCACAATGTGAAATCAATTAGTTTTGAGAAACAAACAGAGACTTTTACGATACACTTTAAGCTGTTTTTCATTTAAGCTACGAGTTTTTGCGACCGTTGATGTCAAAAACTGCAAAAAACAACACTTTCTTTTTTTCAGACATTTAACAGTTGCTTTGTTTGTTAAACTTC